ATCTTATTCACTTAAAATGCTTTTCTATGAAGCCATATATTTTTATTTTAGAGAAAAAAATATTTTACCTGTCTATTCACAGTGAAGGGACTTCAAAGCACTTCAAATTAATCTCCATGCTGGAAGGGAATAGCTGCAGAGATAAAGAAAGCACCCTGATTCTCCTTGGGCAAATGAAAATGATTGGGACTATAATATGGAGATATAGAAAACTTTAATTTGGTATAGCTGAGCAGAGCAATGAGGAAAGAGAGGAGGAAGGGGAAAAGGAAACACACAGGAGGCACCCATTATATCTGAGTCACTCAGATCTTTAGTTTTCATTTCTTTTTGCCATGGAGTGTTTGGAATATGCTTGTACCAGAATTTTACTTCTTCTTACCTGAAACTCAAATTTAGATGGGTGTCCTGTGTTTTATTCAGCAACTCTTAAAGTTTATAGGAATATTTTCTATATTTTAACTTACTATAAAAAAGTTACTCAATGTCTAGACAGTTAAAAAAAAAGGCTTATTGGGCATGTTTGTGTGTGTTTGACAGTATTGACAGTAGTCTTGTTGGTCAGACATTTAAAAATCAGAGGCTGCTGTAAGGCCTTTCCTGCCTCTCAAGTGGCCTGAAATTAGAGGGTTAGCACTCTTGTTCTATCCAGTCTGGCACATAGTAGGAACTTAGTTAATTTTGGTCTAAACAGATGCTCAGTACTGTGAAAAATCCTAGATATTTCTGAGTTAATACTATGCTCTGATGAGAAAGGATTTCACTTTACAAGGTGAATAATAACATCACTGGCAAGGAAAATGTCAACCAATCAGCTAGGAAAATTTTTACATATGCCTCATTAACAGCACAGCCCTTGCTGTCATTGTCTAATGATCTTGTTCCTTCCCTGCTCTTATCTAGGACAAATATTCTTTCTTTAAAGTGGTTGCTTACATTGTTTCCTAGTCACTCCTCAGTAGATTAACATTAGAAAAATAGTGAGTTTTCACAATTTCATGAACAATGAAAAGCCACCACCCAAAAAGGCACCCAGATTTGAAGCTCCTTTTTATTCCTTAATAAGAATAAACTCCATGGCTTTATACTTGAAATAGCAGTTTTGGAGACTGAAAGTTTCTGAAGGTTTGCTTTATTTGCTAATCAATGCCAGGAGCCTATTATTATTAAATTCACAAGCTGTAGAGGTTTTCCTTTGATTATATATTGAGGGGGCATTTATTCTCTGTACTTGAGTAATTCCTACTTGAGGTGTTCATATGATTGAATGGAAAATAATTCATATGCCTGTTTTAGTCAGTTTGTTTTCATTTGTTTGCTGCTGTGACCAAAAGACCTGACAAGAACAATTTTAGAGGAGGACAAGTTTACTTGGGGGCTTACGGTTTCAGAAGTCTCAGTCCATAGACAACTGACTTCACTTCTCTGAACCCAAGGTGGGCAGCACATCACAATGGAAGGGCATGGAGGAAGAAAGCAGCTCAGTACATGGCTGTCAGAAAGCAAGAGACTAAGTTTAGGTCACAAAATATATACCCAAAAGGCCCACCTGCAATGAGCCACCTCCTCCAGCCACACCCAGTTAATCCCTAATAGAGGATTAATGCACCGATTTGGTAAAGGTTCCCATAACCCAATCATTTCACATCTAAACTTTCTTACATTGTCTCACAGATGAGCTTTTGGGGACACCGCATATGCAAACAACAACAATGCCTAAACTATGAGACAGCAATGCAAGATCAAACTCTGCAAATAAAAATATCTAAAAATAATTTCCCTTTTTGGTCATGGATTAAGCTGTATTGAATTTTCAGCCTTATAGATTTTGTTTTCTAACTCTGACACCTGTTGAATACACTTATCAAACATAAGTGGTGATGATTATAAAAATAAGAAAGGAGATTGGTACAGGGGGACTAATGAGCAGGAATTCATCTGGCCCTCTGTTAACTTGAAGTACTTAGCTAAGGGCCTTGCACAGAAGAAGTACAGATTGTTGAGCTGAACTCTGTGTCCCCTTGCAATCTGATCAGGTAGGACACCTGTTCTCCTAAGCAAGCTGTCACTTAGCAGACTCCTACCTGTGCTGATTCAGGAATCTACTGTGCTATGTTTTTCTTTTTTTTTTTCTTTTTTTTTCCTGCTTTGGAAGCCCAAGCCTTTCCCTTCCTCCCTGAAGAGTCATTGTTTCTCTTGCTAGATAGTTGCTCAAATGCAGAATTTATTGAGTTGTAATTTTTAGGTGTTTTTTTTTTTAAATATGATCGTGGGTATTCAAAGCATACCTAATACGTATAAACTGAGGCATTAGTGTGTGCACGCAAATAGATATTTAAACACTCCCAGATGAATATCACATGCCTTAAGTTGAAGAATTAAATCCTTTTGAAAATTCTCCACCCCCAGAATTGTGCCTGTTGCCGGCTGACTTCATACACAGGTAGTGCAGGACTCATCAGGCTGTACCCTTGTATTACTTTCCCACAGTGGTCTCTAATAGGTTCATTAGGGAATCTAGGATCACTGATTTGGCAATTTTGCCTGCTAAATTATTCCAAATGTCCATTACTTACTGGCACTAACTGGAAAGATTCTTTCTGTTCGTAAATGTAAGTTCTTCCATTTTTCTCTTTCCTTTTGTATTTTTCCCTCAAATATGAGTCTATTGGGGATTAAATCCAAATTAGTCTAATTTTCTTTCATAGCAGTAGTCATATTACAGTAATTCTCACTGCAGCAAGAAGCACTTAGTGTCTTGATTTCTCTGCCGTTTGCTATAAAACGTTCCAGTCTGTGGTACAGTTCTTGCAGAATTTCTGACCGAGGCAGTTCATTGTTTCTGCTCCCACTCTGACTTGCCCTTTAAGACGTCTCATTCGGTGCTAAGTTTAAAATTGGCTTTTATACATAGGAGGCTGCCCTGATCTATGAACCCAATATTTTACTCTGACAATGCTGTGATCCTTGTGCCTCTTCTGTCATCCTTTTTCTTCACTCGTTTTTCTTTTCTTAACCTCTTACATTTTCTCACTTGCTTAATCCCCACTATTATCCAACCAGAAAGAATGACCCCACTCACCTCTTTCTATCAACCCAAACCCAAGCCCATCGTGCCCCCTGCTCAGGTGAGCCTCTGTCCTTGTACTTTCCTCTCCAGTTATTTTAGCCCAGTCACTGACCCCGGACATTCCTACTCAAATTCTCTGGCTTTATTATGTCTAAGTTGATTTGTCCCCACACATGAGTGAGTGTGTCGTGCCTCTGCCTCTGGCAGGATTCTTGTCTAGTGGGAGTTTTACACCTCCTGGGTTCACTCGGGAGGAGCAGAGTCCTGTCTTGTTAGTGGAATCCTGATGCTCCGTCCTCATCCGCCTGTTAGCTCTCTCACCCATTACCCTCTAAGCCTTTCTCACTTCGGAGTACTTTAGAAAGTTCTTAAATGGATGCTTAAAAATCATAGAAACATAAATGGGACCCAGTGATAGGTTAACCAAAAAAGAAGGGCATTTTATATATCACCTGTTGCTGTTCTTGAAAAGACACTCATCGCCCTCCCCCCTGGGTTTGGTTCTCCGTTCTCAGAGGCCAAGCCATACCTGGTGCCTTCTTCATTCCACTACTAGGTCTTAAAACATTTGCTTTTCTTTTTTTTACCCCTCCACTATCACCTTTGTTCACAACCTCCTCTGTGCCTGGACCATTGCACTGTCTCACTACAAACCTTCTTCAGTGCCCTCTCCATACAACCTCAGGAATGATTTTTCTAATGTTCATGCACATTTCTGTTAATTTTCTTCTGGAAAATTTTCAGTGGCCTTTCATTGCTTATGAAGTAAAACATAAACTCCTTAATATGCTCTTCTATTACTTGGCCCTTGCTAACTTCTCTAGCCTCAGTTTACTTTTTCTGCACATATAGGCCACACTGATTTTCTGCACATAGGCCACACTAATTACAGGCAGCCTCTGGGTAGTGGTGCATGTTGTGGCAGCTGCAGGAATGCCCTTTTCCAAATGTCACTAAGTGCACATCAATGATTAGCTCAGGAACCTTCTCCACTCTGAAGCCTTCCTTGGCCCGCCCAAGCAGGGTCAATCACTTGCTTCTTTGTCTGTGTGCTTTAGATGTTTTTTGTTAATGCAACTCCTCTTTAGATCTTTCTTTCTTCCTCTACTGTGAGGACTTGGAAGTTTGAAACAATGTCTTATCTTTACATCATGCAGTCTTGTTATAACTCATAGTAAAAATTCAATAAATGTGGGTTAAATCAATGTGAGTGAGAGGAAAAGGAATTATTTTTCTTATTCTTCTTCCACCTCTTCCTCCTCTTCTCCTCCTCCTCCTTCTCCCCCTCCTTCTTCTTTTTGATAGGAAATAGCCATGAACGGTGAACTTAGAGAAAAAAAGTGTCAGTGACAGATTTTGATGATTCAGTGCACAATGGAAATGATTTCCGACTAGTTTGTTTGATAGCAATTATCATTTGGATTAAAAACCTGCATTTCCTCTTCTATTACCTCCACTTGAAAGAAGAGCTTTGAAGGAGAAATCAACAACATGAATGTACCCTTCTCTTCTTTGAAAGGACAGTGTGCGTCTTTGATGGTCGAGCCTCACAACTGTGAGCACTAAATAGCCTCCCCTTCAAGTGAACCAATCATCACTCATGATATTGGTGGGGCAACCTGCTGCCAGCCTGCAAATAAGGCCTGTTAATGATATCACTCATTTCAAGTCTGCAAATGGGAACACAAGGGGAGGAGGACCTCAAGCACTGCTGCTGGCCATTAATGCATGTTATTAATGGAGGCAGCTTTGTCAGTGCCAGTCTTGCATCCTCCTGATGGAGGGGTTCTCATTTTCTTATTATTTCATTGTTTACAAGTTTATTTATAAGGTGTATGTTCATATATATATATATATATATATATATATATATATATATATATATATATATTATTTTCATGAATCTCTCTCTCCCTCCCCCACCTTCCTGTATTTTCTCTCCAAATTTAGTGAGATCGATTTGAGAGAGGGTGGTTATGGGGGTCCTTCTAATGACATCTCTACTTCAAGTGCTATGGCCCATTTTAAAAGACGTATAGAAGTTTGCATGCTAATGTAATTGCCACTATGTCACTGCCTGAAAGCTCCCATTAACTAGTAGCAGGCTTATAGAAAAGGGCTGTGGATGAAGGCCCAGGAAATGTGGGAGCCAGAGAAGGCATGGGGGAGGCAGGCATCTTCTGGAAGAAGGAGAGATCATGAGATTCCTGAGCTCTCCTCCAAGCACTTAGAAATGTTATCTGTGACACTGTTAACTCTAGGAATGCTTACTTGTTATATCTTAGATGGGAACATAGATCACACCAGGATGGCAAAGCAACGAACTCATACTTCATATTTGATTAGACTCTTAACTCCCAACCAACAATAGTAATAAATTTACATAAAGTATCATTGTTTTAGAGATAAGCTTTATTTCTTTTAGAACAGTTTTAAATCCATTTAGAATGGAAGGTTCAGAGAGTCCCCTTTCCCACACATGCAGTCTCCCCTTTTATCCTCTACCACAGTGGTACATTGGTTATAGCTGATAAACTTTTATTGATACACTATAATCACCCAATGTCTATAGTTTACATTAGGGTTGATTCTTGGAATTTTGTCCATCACTGTGACAAAATACCTGACAAGAACAACTCAAAGAAGGGTTTATTTTGGGCTCATGGCTTCAGAGTTCAGTCCATGGTCTGTAGACTCCATCGCTCAGAGTATCATATCAGAAGGCTGTGATGGAGGAAATCTGCTCACCTCATAGTAGTTGGGAAGCACAGGGGTTGGGGAGTCAGGGGATAAAAATATAATCCCTAAGGGCATGCTCCCAGTGACCAGCCTTCTCCAGCAGCACCTTACCTGCCTATGATACCACCCAGTAGTCCATTCAAATTATTAATTCATCAAGTGATTGGGTTATGGCTTTCATAGTCTAATCATCTCAACTCCTGCGTTAACAACAGACACCTGATATCCAAACCATAACAACACTGCACATTCCGTAGGTTTTGTCTCCTACCCACCATTATAGCAGATGCAATAAAAATCCTCTATTCTCCACCTATTTGTGCCCTAACCCTTGACAATCTTGATTCCTTTACTGTTCCTCTCATTTCTCCTCTTCTCAAATAAATGTCATAGAGTTGGAATCATATAGCATGTAGCATTTTCAGAATAGCTTAGCAATAGTAATCTATTTAACTTTCTTTGATGTCTTTTCAAGTCTTGAAAACTCGTTTTCTTTTTAGTGTTGAATAATATCCCAGTGTCTGGATATGCCCACTGTTCCTTTATCCTTCATCTTGGATGCTTCCAAGTTTTGGCAATTACAGATAAAGTTGACATAAGCATTAAGTTGATATATGGTTTTTATTTGGGTACAAGTTTTGAACGCCTTTGAGTAACATCAAAGATTGACTGCTGGATCAAGCGTTAAGAATATGTTTAGTTTTATGAAGAATTGCCAAGTCATCCTCCAAAGGACAGCAATGAGTGGTGGTTCTGCTATTTCACACCCACATCAGCACTTGGCATCATTAGTGTTCTTTGGGCATTCTAATAGGCATCTAGTGATATCTCATTATTGCTTCAATTTGCATTTCTCTGATGACATATGATGTGGAACATCTTTTGTATGCTTATTTTCCATCTGTATTTCTCCTTTAGTGATGTATATGTTTATGTTTTTGGCCTATTTTTTAATTGGGTTCTTTTCTTATGGCTGAAGAATATTATTGTATATTTTGATAGTAGTCTTTTATCAGATATTATCTTTTAAGGTCATTTTCTTCTAATCGGTGACTGGTCTTTTTATTTTCTTGTCCACATAGTTCAGAGCAGATAAATTTAATTAGAGTAAAGTCTAATTTATCAATTATTTCTTTTATGGATTGAGCCTTTGGTGTTGTATCTAAAAGTCATCATTAAAGGGCTGTTTTTACCTGTGCATACAGTCCAGCCAAACACACTTCTACAAAAATGATGTGATCAACAACAAACCTCAAATGTTTTAAAGTATGAGGCAAATACAATGGAGAGAAAGACTTAAAGAAATGCTATCATGGCTATTGATTTGAATATTATTAATCACCATTTAAGTAAAGCTTGTTTTTCTTTTTAAGTCTAAGAAAGATTTTCAATTTTATTTTCTCTTTGAAATTAGAGGCTTTTGTGTGCTTAATCTTGTATCTGTATTAATTCAAGTCATTGTTTGTCATGAAAATCTTCATATATGTCCCAGTGAACTAGGGGGAAGGTCAGACCCCTCCAGATGGTAAGAGAAGGAAGAAGGGAGAGGAACCAGTCAAGTTTGGGCCATTAGGAGAGAAGCACTTTTTCCCTGAAGAAAGGAAGGTGATATGGGTACTCTTTTTTTTTTTTTTCCTCTAAGCCCAGAACTAGAAGAAGAGAAATGAAGCAAAATTGCCTCAGTGATATGAGAAGACCCTAGATCCCATTTGTAGGGGGAAGATGGAAGGTGGGATTGTGGATCCTACTTGGGACTCAAGGAAAAGGGCTATCAATACAGTGATTTTTCACAAGAAAAGACAAACCCATATATCAGAATAAAGAGAGGGACAGGAGTTGGAAATCTGAGAAGGTCCACTGTAAAATAAATACAGTTAATTTATTCAGAGTCATAATTAGGGTCCCCCTGTAGATCATTCAGCCTTTGCCCCACTGATATTAGTCTGGTTTTGTTACTATGATGAAATTGCTGAGGATGGGTAACTTTATAAAAAAGGAAAGTGGTTCATTTTGGTTCTTGATTCTGGAGGTCCAAGGTTGAGGGTCTTCTTGCTGGCTGTGTCTCAAGGCACTGTAGAGCATCACAAGGGAAGACAGGGAGTGTGAATATATATCTGTGACTTCTGGCTTTCTCCTTCCTTTTATAAAGCCTCTAGGATTCAATCATGGGGACTCCACCCTAATGACTTGATCCTGAATCACCTTCCATAGGCCCTAACTCTAAATACAACAGTTCAGATTACATTTCTCCCCTCCTAATATCTCACAAATAGGGATTAAATTTTAACACATGAAGCTGTGGGGGGACACACTGAAACCACAGCACCACCCTAGGCAGAAGAAGACACCTTCCTTGATACCACTACTGTGGCAGCAGCCAGAGAAGCTGCCTGTGTTATGTAGGCTTAAGAAGGAGATTGACTTCATGGAATGGGAAACTAGTTGGTAGCTTCCTCTCCTTGCTTCTGTAAACCAGGCACTCATGCAGAAAGCCATCAGGAAGAGCACATCTCAAAGAAAACCCCATTCTCAGGAGTGGGAAAAACTCAGAAAGTTGGGGAGTCTGTGGTCATGCCCTCAGGATCATGAGGCCAAGAGTTTAACTTTGGTGTCAAATTCTTCCCTGGGGAGCCACCTCTTACAGTGTTTCAGTCACTGATGTAGTTTACTTAACACCATCTCACTGGATTGTCACAACATGCCTAGAAAACAAACAAGTTAGTTATCACCAGACCCTTTTCATGGTTTTGCCTAAGGTTAGATAAACAGAAAAACGTAGACTCTGTTTCTCTGTATTTCCAGTCTAAGTTTTTTTTTAATACCTTAGTACAAACAGTCGAGTACCCCTCCTTTCTCAACTTGTGCCATTGACAGGAATTAGTTTGTCGTAAATCTCTTCCTTAGGAAGTTGCACAGTTCTTGAGAGAAATCTTTTTTCATAAACAGATGGCATGGTTTTTACATTGAGTTATTCATTGGTTCCAAGGAAGGATGGAAAGAAGAATTAAGCGTTGACACAGAAGGAACGATAGCAGTTAAAGTTGAAGAAGCCACTTTATGAAGGAGCCCCTGTGTTTTTGTCAGTCTTTTCATGCTGCTGTGACTAAAAGACCTGACAAGAACAGTACTAGAGGAGGAAAAGTTTATTTGGGCGCTCATAGTTTCAGAGGTCTCCATTCCTCCAGGCTCAAGGTGAGGCTAAACATCATGGCATAACAGTGTGGCAGGGGAAAGCAGCTCACATGATGATCAGGAAGCAGAGAGAGACTCCACCCTCCAGATACAAAATATATACTCCATAGCCACGCCCCCAATGACCCACCTTTTCCAGCCACACCCCCTACCAACAGACCAGTTAATCCCATTAAGGGATTAATTCACTGATTGGGTTAAGACTCTCATAACCGGATCATTTCTCCTCTAAACCTTTTGGCATTGTCTCACACATGAGCTTTTGGGGGACACCTCACATCCAAACCATAACACCAGGTCTCCATAAGAAGATTCTGAGATTATATTTTATGTCTTTTTGACCTTGAATCCCAAGTGAAACTGGAGGCCCTGTGCTGATGACTTTGGTTGGCATTCAAATCAATTACCATAGGAATCTACAGACTCTCTTTCTCTGGAGGTATTTTATACTAAGGTAGATAATTTCAGAAGGGACCAGGACACAGCTTGAAGATGAACTGAATGACCTCTTGGTATTTTCTAAGCATGAAACTAATTTGGCAGCAATGTATGGCCCTTAAGTGTACCCAAAGTGAGACTCAGAAGTAACTTGTCTCAATTTACAACCTGTCTTGATCTTTGGCAGTCTAAAATTGCTCTAAATAGGAGTCTGGATAGAGTAAGGAGTAGAGCAGAATGGTTGAGGGAAGTTTAATGTGTAACTCTCTGATAATAAAAATGTTTAAAAACACATACTGAATATCTTACTTTTTTCCAGTAACCTTGCATGTGTTGTTCATTTAGTTTTTACTGTGGCCTGTGTGGTAGATGCTATTGTGCTGTTGGTTTTTCACACAAAGAAACCAAGGCTTTAAGCTAAATAACTTGGCAAATAAGAGGTAATTTGGGTTTTAAAGTGTGCTCTTCCCAAAAAGCAGCATGTGCCTCCTTGGGAAGTCTAGAAAGACCTGTATCTCTGAGGTACACTAACCTGAGTTTCAGCTCCTGCATGGCCATTTTCCAGCTGTGTGACCACAGCAAAATCATTTAACCTCCGAATCTCAGTTTTTTTTTAAGACTATAAATGGAAGATTAAATACCTGCTTTGAAGCATTACTGGCAAGGACACATAAATCATACACTCATTAGCTATTACAATTTTGAAATACATCCTGACAACCTGGTTGGGTCAACACATGACATATGGGTGACAGAGTCAGCTCATTCTTTCTCTTGTCATTCATTCTTGAGAGAAACTGCCAATGAAAGATATCACAAAGTCCTTGAAAATATCAATAACATTAGCATAATGCTAATGTGAATAAATCAGCAGGAACTAATCAACATTTCTGGAAAAACAGAGCCAATGTCACTTTGTAGAGATAAAATGCATGGCTGGCTGTGCATTTCTGAACCTGTCTGTGTGGCCACTGCCAAGTGATTGGTAGGAACAAAATTCAGAGGTTTCCTCCTGCTTTAATCATTTCAGATGGTTCCTGGGGCCTCTGAAGAGGGTTCTAGGATTGGGGTGGAGGGCAGATGAGAAGGTAGGCTAGGTTCAGCCCGCCACCTTCAATCAAAGATGCCTTGATTTCTTTTATATACTGAGGATTGTTTGTAAGACTATGAAAAAAAATGTTTTTAAAGGTAGGAAATCATACGTCAGAATATATACTGGGTTTATTTATTAAAAATGGGAATAAGGTACTTCAGGTAGTTTTATAAAATGAAAATCAGTGGTTTTTAAAAAAACAATGTGGAAAGGAGAAAAGAAATTCAGTGGAGTTGGTAGAGGAGAGGCTAATACTGGGCTCTAGAGTGGGGCACCTGGGTTGAATCCTGCAGCTGCCATTAGCTGTGTGAGACCTTGGAGCACATTATTTAACTTCTCTGTGCTTCAGTTTCCTCATCTGCAAAATGGGCATGGTAATAATTTTAGCTTCCTGTTGCTGCTACAACAAATCACCACAAATGTTTTAATGACTTTATATAACATGAATTTATTGTCTTTTGATTCTAGAGGGCAGAAGTCTGAAATGGGTCTCATTGTGCCCAAACCACGGTTTTGGCATGACCCTGCTCCCTGGAAGGCTCTAAGAAGACCTTGCCATTTAAGCTGCTAGAGGTTGCCTGCAGCCCTTGTCCCCAGACCACTCCTTTGTCACTACCCAGTATCTAACATCTAATCTCCCTCTGACTCTGACCTCCTGTTTCCTTGGTCATATCTCCTGACTGACCTTCCTGCCTCCCTCTTAATTGGATAATCCTGGAAAATCTCCCTCAGCTAAGATCTTTGACTTCAGAACACCTACAAAGTCCCTTTTATTGTGCAAGATAACATATTCACAGATCATTAACATTTTAGGCCCTGCAGCAATCCATGAGGTAAGTGCTGCTGATTACTGTTATATGTGAGGAAGTGGACATCTTTGAGCATGGTTGTTTGGCTGATTAAAATCAATAGCACCTACCTCATGTTGCTGCAGGGACTAAAATGTTACTGTATAGAATATGATTACAATATGATTACAATGTTCTTGGATACTCCTTTATACATACTAAGGGCTGAGCACATATTAGCTATGAATGTAATTCTAGTGTATTTTGACGGCAATAAAATGTCCCTATGCCCCTATGACACAATATCTGGAGAGCTCATGGGCTTTGGAAATGGACCTGCATACGCCTTTACTTCCTACCTGTGTGACTTTGGAGAAGTAATTAATCTCTCTGAGACTCAGTTTCCATATCTGTAAAATAACCAACTGTATCTCACAGTGTTGTGATGAGGGTTAGGTAGACATAGCAGGTTTCCCTGCCTAACTAGCTTTGGTGGGGGTGACTACATTCTCTGGAATGTAGAGGGTGACTTGGTCTCTGAGTGTTCTTTGAAACCTGAATATCAGAGGCAACAACACCCGTTCACGTCATGGTGTGGTTAAAGGATCCAGCAGTTTGGGAAAGTGTTTTATTAATACACATAAAGGGGAATAATACTGCAAAGATATGGATTTTTTCCTCATTGGACAAAAATATTCATCATGGAGATGGAGTTCAACTAGATATGGAGGCAGGCGTGTCGGGAAAAATTTGATTTTTTTTTTCTGTTCCTCATTGGAGAAATGAAGGATCTAGTGTTGAGGGCTCTTACTAGTTTCCTATGTTGGCTGTAACAAATTATCACAAACTTGGTGGCTCAAAACAACATGAATTTCTTTTCATAGAATTATGGAGGCCAGAAATCCAAAATCTGAAATCAAAGTATCTGCAGGGCCATGCTCCCTAGGGGGCCATCAAGGAGAACCTGGTCCTTCACTCTCCCACAGAGCTCCTAGTGGCTGCTGGCATTTTTTTGCTTATGGCCTCATCACTCCAGTCTCTGCCTCCAGGTACATGTTTCCTCCTTTTCTTCCCCTTCAGCACTCCCTCTTCCTCTCTCTCGTAAGGCTACATGTAATGGCATTGGGGTCCACCCGGGTGATCCAGGATAAGCACATCCTTTCAGGACCTTTAACCTAATCTCATCCTTGGCCATATGAGGCAGTATTTACCCTTTTGCCACATAAAGTGATACTGGAGATTAAGACACAAATATATCTTGAAGAGGTGGGGGACATTTTTTCATCCTATCCCAGAAATATAGGGGAAAGTAAGTACAGCCTTTTTGAAATGATGAAGATCCTCCTTTAGCAGCTAAATGTCCCCCTACTGGAATGCTTCTATGAATGAGAGTGTGCATGGAACATTACGGGAGTAACCCCAAACAGGAATAAAAACAAGTGAAATCTTTTCCCTCGATGAGACTCTGTTGTGATGTGATCTTAAATGTCCCCATGTATTGGAGGGTAAGTGGTCAGCCTGTGGCACTGTGGTAAGGTGGCAGGACATTTAGGACACAGGGCCTTGTGGGACAGGGGGAGTCAGGTCACTGGGGGGTGTGCCTCTCAGGGAGACGTGGGAACCCTGGCCCCTTCCTCTCTCTTTCTCTTTACTTCCTGGCCACTAGGAGGTGAGCCACTTTGCTCCTCCATGATGTTCTTCCTCACCACGCTTCCTAAGTGATGGGGCCAAGAAACCATGGGACTAAAACTGTGAACCAAAATACACCTTTCCTCCTTTTAAGTTATCTCAGGTGTTTAGACACAGTGATGAAAAGTTGACCAACACAGGCTCCCATCTAGCAAATGAAAGACAAAACACATCTGAAAAAAACTGAAATTTCAGAGTAAGAGACAAAGTGACATGAAGGTCTTCAGTGGAGAGTGCCTTATGAGAGGGTTGAGGCAGCAGAGTGCACTCTGACTTTCTCACCTGAGCAAATAGTTGGAGGTGAGTTTTGAAGAGAGGGTATGGATTTCTATTGCAAAAGAAATAAAGCTTACTACCTATACTAAAAGTCAGATTTTTAAAATGGTGGGGGTAGATCATACTTTATTTCATTTTAACTTATCTAATAGGGGATAATAGTAAAGAATGTGTTTTGAAAGTGTAAAGCTGTGGGAGGGATGAAGTGTTGGGTATTAATTAATAATGCCACTAATCTCCAAATCATATTATTTAAACCCTGCTTATTGTAGGTTAGAAAATGAACCTACTGATAAGAAGATGTAGACTTAATTTTTTTTAAAGAGAAAGAGAGAGAGAGAATTTTTTTAATATTTATTTTTCAGTTTTTGGTGGACACAACATCTTTATTTTATTTTTATGTGGTGCTGAGGATCGAACCCAGCGCCCCGCGCATGCCAGGTGAGCGTGCTACCTCTTGAGCCACATCCCTAGCCCTGGACTTAATTTTGAAGAGAGAAATCAATGTCAAGAATATAATGTAACTGCTGGGTGCTTGGGTTTATACCTGTTATCCCAGCAGCTCGGGAGGCTGAGGTAGGAGGATCAAAAGGTCAAAGCCAGCCTCAGCAATTTAGCAAGACCCTAAGCAACTTAGCAAGACCCTGTCTCTAAATTAAAAAAAAAAATCCTTATAAAGAAATAAAGAAAAAAGGGCTGGGGATGTGGCTCAGTGGTTTAGTGCCCATGGGTTCAAATTTCAATCCCTAGTACCTTCCCCCTGAAAAAATACCCCAAATAACTTGCATAAACTATTAGTGTTTTCTCCTCCATATAGCTTTTCGTGATCTCTTTAACCTTTTGCTATCACATATGGCATTCTTTGGAATTGTGATTTTATCTTCTACAATTCACGAGGACTATAATTCTATAATTTAGTGAAGCCTGTATAAGTAATGTTTCATGAATGTTATTGCTAATATGAAATGATTGCCTCACTACAGAGCTAGTACAAGGTGTCATCTTGGGGCAAATACTTGGTCTATTTGACCTGGAGGCATAGGAGTCCCAGATTCAGGAAATTTCAGGCTTGACAGTGATGTCTCTGCCTCCTGGGGGAGGCTGGGGAGTCTCCCCATGACAGCTCCTAGTGAGACAGCACCATGCTATCCTCTGGCCAGCAACCTCCAACCACTAATCAAACCCCAAGAAACTAGAACTGGACCCCTTATGCTGTACCAGCTGAGGAAGCAAGGCGTGTTCTAAGGAAAAGGAAATTTTATCATTCAATCATAAGCAAATGTGTGTCTAGTTTTCACAAAAGGAAATATGGAATGGAGACTTTTTATGGCTTTTTTAAATCAACATGTTCATTCTTCTACTAAAGATGAATCTTCTCTTCTATTAAAGAATTAAAATAGGTGAATGTTGTAGGCAGACTCTTTAAGGTGGTCTGGCTGACGACCGCTTCCTGGCATTCCTGCCCTGTGTGGTGCCTCCCTTGAGTGTGGCCTGGAGCTGTAACTGATTTCCAACCAGTAGAATGGGGCAGGATGTGTGTGATTACATGTATATAATTATGTGTTGTAGTGTCTGTCCTACTGGGTCTCCTCTCTGGGGTCTCCTCTATGTCTCTTTTCTCTGATTTTGAGGAGGCAAGCATTCTCTACAAGCTGAGGGCAGCCTGCACCTTATAGCCAGCAGGTAATGGAGACTCTCAGTTCTACAGCTGCCCCTAAATTCTGCCAACACCCTAAGTAAGCTTAGGTTGAGTTTCAGATCAGAGCTCAGTGAAGGGGCACACTCAACTGCAGCCTTGTGGAATCCTAAGCCTGGTCCAGACTCCTGGCCCACAGGAGCTGGGAGATAAGAAATGCATGTATTTCCAAGCCACTGAGTTGAAATAATATTGTTATGTAACAATAGTTGCTGATACAGTGAGTTTGAACTTTTCTCCCCACATCCATCCAGGAGCTTTTCTCAAGCAGGAAGTCAGAGAAGTCCAAGTCACAGGATTTAAACAAGCTGCTAATCACATTGGAAAATTTAAATATTTGGGAAATGTATATTATTTATATACTGGTTTTCCGCTACCCACACTCTCTTACATGCATTTCTAAAAAATGAAAACAAAGCATATCTGTTATGGTTTAAATGTGGTGTCCCCCCAAAAGCTCACGTGTGAGACAATGCAAGAAGATTTGGAGGAGAAATGATTAGCTTACAGCATTAACCTAATCAGCGAATTAATCCCTGATGGGATTAACTGAATGGTAACTAGAGGCAGGTGAAGTATGGCTGGAGGAAGTGGTTTTTTGGAGGCATGGCTGTGGATATATATTTTGTATCTGGAGAGTGGAATCTCTCTCTGCTTTCTGATCATCTTGTGAGCCATTTCCCTCTGCCATGCTCTTCTGTCACCATGTTCAGCCTCTCACCTTGAGCCCCGAGAAATGGAGCCAGCCTTCTGTGGACTGTGATCTCTGAAACCGTGAGCCCTCCAATAAACTTTTCCTCTTCTACAGTTGTTCTGGTTGGGTTGTTGAGTCACAGTGGTGAAAAAGCTGACTGAAACAGTATTACTTCATGAATATTTTGAAAAGAAGAGTTGAGCTTGTAATATATGTATGATTTAATAAATCTTTTTACCTTCATCCTAATTTTAAATAAGTTTAGTGGTATTGTAAATTTTTAACTTTGGAGGAAAATTACTTCCATCTCAGTTTTATTTTCCATTGGCTAGAATTTAATACATTGTTATTTTTTTCTGTTCTGTGACTTTATTTTCATCTAATATGCATTGGCAAAAATTTCTCAACATGATGTTTTGAATCTCTAACTTTTGCAGCAAGTGAAATTGTAACAGAATTTAGGACTTAGATTCAATTACCAAGCAATAACATTTTGCTAACCTTTCAGTCAATCTGCTTAGGGCTTTGTAAGTACCTTGGGATCATAAAAACTCTCAATATTAGTTGGAGGTTTAGTTCCTCTATTTATTTACTTATTTATTTTTATGGTACTGGAAATTTAACCCAAGGGCACTCTACCACTTAGCTATCCCTATAATCCTTTTTATTTTTATTTTTTGAGACAAGGACTTACTAAATTGCCCAGGCTGGCCTTGAACTTGCAATCCTCTTACCTCAAATTTAGAATAGCTGAGATTATAGGTGTGCATCATGACACCTAGCTTACTCAATTATTAATCCAAGTTTTATTCCAGAGATACAGATTGTTTTTATTACTTGAAAATTCCTTGAAAAAGAAGAAAAAGTTTGCTGTTAGTCACCCAAAAAGCATCCCAATTGCTATATTATAGTAGCAGAATGACAGCTGGTGTTAGGGGCCTACTTGCCAGGCACTGGAAAGACATTTAATCCTTACATGCAGGTGCTGGTGTAGGTACTGTTGTTATGCCCATTTTACAGATGAGGAAACTGTTAAAGAAGTTCAGTGTCCTGCCTTCAGTCTTAAATGTTATCATCTGCAGAACAGGATGTCAACCAAATAGAATCTAAAATCGTACTACTCACTACAATGTTATTACTAAAACTAAACTAATATCTACATCAAATTGGTTTTACCAGGAGAAATGGCAGGTGATGCCCTTTGTACTAGATAACATGGTCATGCATATGATAACCAGATTCTACATAACTTCTCATGACTTGTGTGTAAATCACACAGAGAAAGGTAATGATAATAATGCTGTAAAAATCCCGGTTAAATTAATTACAAGGCAAAGCTTGTTATGACATGGAAAAATTTATTTATTCTCTACCCTTATCTTGTAGTCTTTTTTCAGTCAGCCTCTTTCTTGTTAAGAGAACCTGTAAATATATGCTGTTACTGATTACTTAAGTACCTTGGCGGTGAAGAATAATGTGAACTGGAAATTTTGTGTAAAATTCAGTTGCATAAGATTGATAAAGATAAGTGGACAAGTCACTCACATCTGAGGGCGAATTGAACTAGTTAAAAACTGAAGATGCAAACTAGAAGAATAGTGGTAATATAGACAAGCCAAAAGAGAATGATTTCTTTATCAAGGGATTAAAAGAGGCCTTTGTGAAAATTAATTAAGCTTTTGAAAACTTTTACAAAAATGACCTGTCTTAGATTGGGCTATGAAAGTCAAATATGAAGTGAACGATGTTAAATTTCACTATCATATAATTTGTACTATTGTGTGCATTTCCAGCAATTTAAAAAATTATGTCCTTTCTCAAAAAGATTAAAGTCAATATTCAATTCAGTTTTTGTTCATTTTCCCAGCCTTCTTATTTCTCGTCTCTACTATGAAATTCAGCTTCTGTTTTAAGTGAATTCACTTTGAGTGGCCTTTTCTTGTGTAATTATGCTTGAATGAGTCCCCTGTGCTTCCTGTAGACCAGGCATGGTTATTTAATTCTAAATATGTGAGCTTCTCATCACTAGACACATTGAAGGAGAAAGTGGACAACCTCTTGTCCTGGTTGTAGAGAGGGCATTCAGCTTGGCAAGGCAGGAGCTGGTAAATAGACCTTGTAACCTGTAAGGCCTCTTGCAATGTCAGAGCCCTGTGAAATCTCAGCTATGTCTTATCAAAAAGAACTCTAAAACCTTGGGGCATGCAGCAACTGTTGAGTGCCATTCAAGGAATGACTATGGAGCAGCTCTGGCAAGGAGGCCTGACCTGGGCTTGGAGCTACAACAGCACATGCTTCTTTTATATTCACATTTCTTTTCTCTGTCTAGAATTTACCACCCTTCCTCTCCTCAACTCTTTTTTTTTTTTTTTTTTTGGATGGTGCTAGGGATTGAACCCAGAGTCTCACTCATGCTTGGCAAGTGCTCTGCCTCTGTGCTAACCCCAGCCCTAGCATTACCTTTTAATTGAAACAAACAAACAAACAAACAAACAAAATCTCTCTGAGACTGATTTTCAACCAATGCATTACTCTCAACTATGATGTGCATGGTGGTGTGGGTTTGCTAGTGTGTCTCATTTTCTGGCTGAGAATTAAAATGCCTTATCCTGAACCTCTTAGTGTTTAGGGATTGTGCTCCACCCACCTTTTAAAAAATCCTGGTGACTCAGGGCAGCTCTTCCATGGTAACATTATATCACTGCTAATGCTATTAACATTTGAAAACTTGTCAAGCTTGTACAAAGAATGAAACATTAGGTCCTATGACAACTGGGAGCTGTTTGTATGTACTCTCCCAGAGAGATTAGCACTATTAACAGAATTAGCACTGGTCACACTGGGAATCGTCAGGCTTCCTGTTTGAGACTCTGAGGATGGCAGTAGATTTGCTGTTTTACATATTGTCCAGTTGATAAGGATGTTAGTGGAAATATGGCAGTAAAAAGCATGTGGTTATATATTGGTGTCTGCAGCAAGTAGGGGGAGGATTATGCTCTCCCACTGAAAGCCTTTCATTCTTTCTCCCATGAGACCTGATCCTGATGAAGGCTATGAGTCTGAGTATGGAAAAATTATTTCCTAGTATTATAGGTAGTGTTTATTGAGTAAATACTTGATTTTAAGTATTGCTTTTATCAAATGTCTCTTTTTTTATTTTTGTCAAAGTACAAAAATCTTAATTTGTCAGCTATAAATATGTGGGATGTGCTTAGTATCAGGGTGTGTACTAAATGCTGATGAAGGGAAAGATGAATCTTTATAGGGGTGTAATTTTACAAACCAATACTTTAGCAGAGAATGAACATTGATCATTTTTATCATGAGAATGTTAATGTGCAAAGCACTTTACAAGACATTATTGGGTAATTAACCAAATAGAAATCTAGAGATCTCCATCCTTAAGGAATTTTAATTTCCCAAGCCAAATACAAAGGCAGTAACTTGAGAACCATTACCAACATGTACCAAAGAGCACATAATTATATAAAAAAAATCTTTACAAGATTCTTAATGTTCTAGGAAATTTTGATATTCAAGATGTTCACATGTCTGAAGACACAAAATCAGAAAATCATAGAAACTTAGAGCATCCAAGCACATAAGCCAGGTGAGAAAATTGGTCTAGAAAGGTTAAGTAAGGTGACCATGATCATGCAGTTAGTTTGTGAGTTCTGCTAGAACTAGTTGCTTGGTGTTTTTTTCAGTGAGAGACCTATTTCTGCTTCACTGACTTTGGCTTTCTGAAAGGAATGGCATATTGACCTTTGCAACCTTTCACAGATATGCTGAGAAAGTGTATGTTTTTGTTAGACACAAAACATCATAGGTGAAAATAAAAACACCCTCTACCAGATACTCTGCTTTTATGCAAGTTGCAACTTGGCTTCTGGAATTTTGTAAGTCATTTACACTCAGCCATTCTATTTATCCCTATTCTATATACATGATTCAACTACATGATGCTTCCTGAATATCAAGTAATTGAAAAGGAGGCCCGTTTATTGGGTTGTTATGACACACATCCACACAATAGAAGTGGGGGTGTTCCATGACTCCTATTCTTCTATCTTGGTCCATGTAAGAAAGGATTATCCTCCAGTGTTTCTCATAGGATGAACATGGAGGACCAAGGATCTGATACAACTCCTTAAATCATGACCTGACTGCAGCGGGACCTCCACTCTTTGTTGCTGGATGTGAGGTACACAGAAGCCCACTCCTTCAGATGGGGGTCAAGATCTCATAATTTAGTCCCACCCCTTTTCATCAGGCTACCTCCTTCCATCCAACAACCGAAAAAGAGGAGAGTTGCTGATAATCCTAATTGTTTTCTTATTTTCAAAACCCAGAAGAGCAAGAATGTGCAAGAGATTTCTAATTACCATGGCCTGAATTTTTCTAGGGAGACTAGTTATCACCACTGAAAATTAAGACATAATTTTGGCTAAAATGTAATAACAGGGATAACTTTTGTTTTCCTTTGCAGGTTGACATTTAAATTTTTTCTTAGCATAAGCTACACAATTACAAAGAGAATCCAAATATTTATTTTTCATTCCAGAAAGCAAGAAGGCAAGGGAGAACCCCCAGTTACATATGCCTTGGTGTTTTGAATGGACTACCCATGGTATCTATAAGTTTATGACAGTTATTAAGACATTTAATCATCTATAGCTTTTTATACTTTTTGCTGAGATGCAGAATCTTTTCTCCATTTTCATTACCTTAGTGGTAAATTTAAACAGCAATCTCAAATAACCATTCTTGCTTAATTTACTTGTCTCCACCAACTTTATATAAATGCTAGGGAAAGATTAGTTTGAATTTGTCTTCTTTAAATTTTATATTTCATAACAACTTTATATTCATAGAAAAAATGTATCAGAAAGCACAGAGTTCTTATATACCTCCTATATACACAAGTGTACAGCCCACCCCTACTATCAACATCCCCCACCACAGTGGTACCTTTGTTATGACTGATGGACCTACGGTGGTACATGATTATCATCCGAAGTCCATAGTTTACCTTCGGGTTCACTCTTGATGTTGTGCATTCTTTAGGTTTTGACAGATATATAATGACTTATAGTATAATATCTTTCAAAATAATTATAGTATCATTCAAAATTATTCCACTGTCCTAAAAGCCTTCTGTGTCGGGGCTGGGGCCAAAGCTCGGTGGTAGAGTGCTTGCCTTGGAAGTGTGAGGCACTGGGTTCCATCCTCAGCACCACATAAAAAATAAAAAAAAGAATATTTTTTAAAAGCCCTCTGTGTATTGCCCGTTGATCCTCAACCCTTGGCAATGACTAATTCTTTTAGTTTTTTTTTAATACTTATATTTTAGTTGGACACAATACCTTTATTTTATTTATTTTTATGTGTTGCTGAGGATCAAACCCAGGGCCTCACACGTGCTAGGTGAGAGCTGTACTGCTGAGCCACAACCCCAGCCCTAATTCTGTTAGATTTTATTCTTCTCAAACGCTATATAATTGGAAATCATATGGCATGCAGCTTTCGGATTTGCTTCTTTCACTCAGTGGGGTATCATGTACGTTCCCTTTGTGTCTGTCCAGGGCTTGATAGCTCATTTCTTCTTGGTGCTGAATAATATTCCAATGTTTGAATATGCCATAATTCCTTTATCCTTCACCTTCTCAAGGGTATCTTGGATGCTTCTAAGTTTTGGCAATTATGAATACAATTGATTTAAACACCTATGTGCAGGTTTTTGTGTAGACATAAGTTTTGAGTTCCTTTGAATAATACCAAGGAGTATACTTGCTGGATCAAATGATAAGAATATGTTTGGCAGTTTCTTATAGAAGTAAACCATCTTTCAAAGTGGCTGTATCACTGTCTTTCTGAAGGCAACAAAGCAGTATTTCTGGTGCTCCACATCCTTGTCAGTGTTCTTGATTTGGGTCATTTTAATGATTTGTAGTAGTATCTCATTGATGTTTAATTGGCATTTCCCTAATGACATATGACTTGGAGTACCTTTTTATATGTTCATTTGCCATATTTGTCTTCTTTGGTGAAGTGTCTTTTGAGACCTTTGCTCATTTGGTTTTTGTTGTTGTTGTTATTGTTGTTGTTTTAATTAAGTTGTTCATTTTCTTATTCTTGAATTTAAAGTATTATTTGCAAATTTTGGATAATAGTCCTTTACCAAATATGTCTTGCAAATGTTTTCTCTCTGTATGGGCTTGTCTTTTCAATCTCTTGACATTTCATTCGGCTCAGTAGATTTTTAATGAAATTCAACTTATCAGTTACTTTTTTCATGGTTGGAGTTTTTGGTGTTCGATCTAAAAGTTGTCATCATGTCCCAGGTCATTTAGATTTTCTCTTATTATCTTTTAACTGTTTCATAATTTTGCATTTTATATTTAGGTATATAATCCTGTTAACTTTTATCAAGTTAGAAGTTAACTTTTATCAAGTGTAGAACGTCTGTATCTAGATTCATTTTTTGATGTTGAGTTTTGTTTAACTTGACATTTCTCAAACTCTTGGGTAAAATTCTATTTCTTTTCTGAGGAAAGAATGTCTATTCAGAACAATCTTTTGCTAATATTTCTTTAATTGTATCTCATTTCAAGGATTCATATCTTACATAGAAAAAATTGTTAACAAACCCCTAGTTCTCTGTTACAAATGTAAAACGTGGTCTGAGATTGTGGCTCAGTGGTAGAGCACTTGCCTAGCATGTGTGAAGCACTGGGTTCAATCCTCAGCACAACAAACAAACAAACAAATAAGTTTTAAAAAATGTAAAGAGTGAAAACCCTACTAATTATAATACAAACAATATGATTATATTTAATGATCCCAAGTGGCTGAGATTAAAGTTTTTGTTTAATCTAAAACGTTTTCAAGATTCTGTAAGTTAAGTCTTTATAGCAGAATTCTTATGTGTTGTCATTTAGAAAAGTTTCGATGGTATAGGATAAAAACAAGTATGCTAGCCATCTGAAAATTCTAGCGTCTAAGATTTGAGGTTACCTTTTAAACGGTAGTCTTAAGTTTGGGTATTTACTTAAAATGTCCCAGCATAGTTTGTTGTAAGAACAAGAGATTTGAGAGGTTATTGTAAGTTTTGCTTCTAGTAGCAAGTCTGTAATTTATAAGTCTTTATTGGGTAAGTTTTAAATATCAGCACTCATAAAGAAAGATTCTTATAGGTTGCTGTAAGAAGAAAATAAAATTTATTTAACACTTTCTACAATGAATACATGGGAACCGAGAGCCCACCAGAGGCCAAGCTTTATGCTAGTCAGACAAACAGGGGTGGATAAAGCTCTGGCTCTTTGCTGAACAAACTTTGAGATCAATTCCAGGGAAGTCCAAGAAGGTCTCAATTATAGCAGAGAATGCAGCCCTGCAGCAGAGCCTGTGAGGAGAGACAGCTGATTGACCTGTGTACCAATCCTTTGCTAATAGAAACTCCCAAATTTAGCCAGACACACATGCAGCCATCCAGCTAGAGAAGCCACACTTCTCTTCCTCAGGTGGAATAGCCATGGGGCAGTGGCATTTGAAGAGAAGTGAAAGTTGCAACCTACTTATTCTGTTCTTAAATATTAACTGCTCTCTGTCCTCTTCCTTTGGGTTGGAACTTGCCTAAGTAGTGGTGAGTCATGGTCATGAGTATAAGAAACTTCCAGGGTATAACATATGAGACAGAAGGAACCCAGGTTCCTGGATGACTTCCTATAGCAGTGCCACCTCCTCTGTCCCTCCCACCCCCAACCACTATTACTACACAATACCTCTTCTTTCTCTAACAGAGAACAAGTCTACTCTCGTTATATGCCACCCAATCAATGGTTCTCACAGAAGGGAGTCATAAGAAAGGAGTGTCAGCATCACTGAGGGAGATTTTTCCAAGTCATAGTGATCCTCCAAACCCCAGGTCAGACCTTAACATGAGAAATAAATAAACCTCTCATCTTCTTTAAGCCACTTTTACTAATTTGTCAAAGTACCTGAACTACTATCATAACTAGTTACAATAACATAGAGTGCTGTAAATCCCATGCTCAGGCCTCTTGGAAGGGACAGGGCAGGTGAGCTTCAGGCAAGGCTTGCTGGAAGAAGGGGCACCTGAGCTGGGTTTTGGAGGGTCATTGTGACTTGGAAAAATCTCCCTTAGTGATGCTGACATTCCTTTCTTATGACTCCCTTCTGTGAGAACCCCTGATTGGGTGGCTTATAATGAGAGTAGACTTGTTCTTTGTTAGTAATAGAAGAGGTATTGCATAGTAATTACTTCATTATTTAAACAAATTCATATAAAACACTTACTAGATGCATATAAATAAATGTCCCATATAGGGCTACCTGATTGATTTTCCTTATTTACTTTTTCTATAAACTGTCATTCCCTTGTCTCTAGTAAATAAGCTTCATGAAAACATGTTCAAAGTCTGGTTTTTGTTTTTTCGTGGTATTTCTAGTAATTTGTGCAGCTGGTCACATAGTAAATATTGAGTCAAGTTTTTATTGAATGAATAAAGCTTAAACTATTCTGTTGGACTTAAGCATGAGACAAGGAAAGAAGGAAAGAAAGTTTTGCATTGAACTTACAGTTAAGTAAACAGATAACTTAAAAAATAAAGTTGTATAACAAAGAAAGAGAAAAAAAAGATACGTAAAGAGCAGCTATAATAGGGTTAGTGAAAATGTGTGGCTATTGCTTAGATATGAGGTGTCCCCCAAAAGTTCATATGTGAGATAATGAAGAATTTTCAGAAGTGAAATGATCAGTATGAGATATTTATCAATGGATTAATTCACTTGACTGGATTAACTATAGCAGGTAGGATGAGGCTGGAGGAAGTAGGCCATTGGGGCTATATCTTTGGGGTTTATATTTTGTCCAGGTGAGTGAAACTCTCTACTTCTCTCTGTCATGTCCTGAGCTGCTCTCTTCCACCACACCCTTCTGCCATGATATTCTGCCTCACCCTGGGTTCTGAGCTATGGAGTTGGTCATCTATGGACTGAGACTTCTGAAATCATGAGCCAAAATAAACTTTTTCTCCACTAATTTTTCTTGTCCAGTCTTTCAGTCACAGCTAGGAAAAAGCTAACTAAAACAAGTGAAAATAAAAAGAGGGCTCTTTTTCATGTAATAATCATCTATAACAACCAGTCACTTAAATATTCCTTGCTAAATGGTCTAGTCTTCCAGAGTTTTGTGTGCTTACTTAATCCTCGTAGCAATCCTGTGAACTTAGTACTATTGTGATCCTCATTTGTAGCTGAAGAAACAACACAGCCAAGTTAAATAACATGTTCTTAGTCACACAGCTAACATGGAATTCATAGTTTGTAACTATATATAAAATATGAATGCATAATATACAAAATATTTTAAAGCACATCTCTCAAGCCATTACCTCTGTCATCATTCCCATTTTAATAAATAGCATTATCTTTCCAATTATTCAAACCTAACATCACAAGTCATTCTTGATTTCTTTCTAACTCAGAACCAAAGTACTATTCTTGCTCAGTTTCCAGGACCATATTAAATGTAAATCAGACCATGTCATGTTCCTGCTTAAAACTCTGCAATGTGTTCTGTGTGCTCCTAATAATGTAGAATAAAACTCAACAGTTCCTTTCAGGGGCCTGCAAAGCCCCAGCTGATCTGCTCCCTGCAGCTCTTTAGCTTCTTTTCATATTACCCTCTATGGTGGCCTTCTTCCTGTCTCTGGCACAGTGCCAAGCTCTTTGTCCTTCCTGTCTTCTGTGTGTTGCAGGTACTGCCCCCAGATCTTTGCATGATTGTTCACTTTGTCTTGTTTACCTCTGTTCAAACTGTGTCTTCCTGTAAGTCCTTCCCAGATCCCCTCTGTTGTAACGAAGTCCCCATGGTCACTTTCCATCATTACCACCCTGTCACTTCTCTCTGCTGGAAAATACTTTTTCAGATGATGGACTTACCTGCATGTTCTCTGTTCCCCCTTATCTAGATTATTCCTGGGAATAGGGGCCTTTGCCCTTCTGTGCACTTCTCTGTCTTCAGAGTGCGAACAGACACACAGTGAGCATTTGTCAAATGGATGAGTCAGACTGAGTGTGAGGTGAGCACACAATATTCATGGTTCATGGGAAACATGCTATGTAAATTATACAAGGGCTTTCAAGTTTCCTTCCTTAAAAGTGTGTCAAACACCAAAATCAGCCAGCAAAGATAAGAAATAAGGCCAGTTCTAAAGGTGGGTCAGAGCTGGCATGCATTAAGCATCTAGCCTGTGACAGGCACTAAATCCATTTTATAGAGTGAATAAGTGAATCCTTAAAGCCACAGACCTTCCAAAGCCTCATTTAGGTTAATGGTTTTGAAGGCTTCTCTACACTTGGGCCTGCAGCTATCAAAGAGAGTGATGGCTTAGAGTGTGCCTCCACCTCCTGCTGCACACTCACTGTGTGACAATACTGACCTGAAATAATTGCGTGAGGAACCCTTGACTGAAAAATGGAGAAACAAACCAATGAATGAATCAGCAAAAATGTCGGTAAGGAAAGCACAGAGGATCAAGAGCTCCTATAAAGTAAAAGTCCTCAACACTATTTAAAACATTCCAAACCAAACCAGACAAGCGTGCCTGAAAAGAACAGCTAGGAGGAGGGGTCTGATAGAGAGCTATAAGACAAAATGGCCAAGAAGGTAGGGAAGGTGAGTCATGTCAAAGCATTTAAAGGAAAGAAAAGAGAAATTTAAGTTATATTAGTCATGAATGTTTATAAAACTGAGAACGTAGGAAAATATTTTAAATACCTAGAAAATGTTTCTGTAGCCAAATGAATCAAGGAAAAAACCTGAGCATTTTGAAACTCGTTGCTTCCGTAAATCAACCACCCATCCAACCAAGAAACAAACTTAAATAGATAAATAAATGAGTGCCATTTTAAAATAGTTTTCTTTTTTTCTTGTTCTCTAAGTAGCCTGAAAGGACAAGTGGGGGACAGAGAAGGAAGGTGGAAGAAGGAGAGAGAACAGGGTTCGGGGGGGGGGGGGGAGAGAAAAGAATTTCCAGGAACTAGAAGCCATTTGGTAACTTATTCTTCCTAACCATTATGTGGTGCTTAAATAAATCCTGTAAAGTTTCACAATTACCTTAAAAGACTTCATAATAAGCACTATATTTTTCATCACTTGAAAGTATCTAGATGCATAAAAATAATAACATCTTGTAGCTAGAAGAGACTTTCTAGTCTAAATCTTTCCTCTTAAGACATATTACACCTTCAGAAAAAACGTGAACTCTGGCACAATGAACATTTTTCAAACCCTTACAGTATTCACATGGCACACTTAGCAATTCAAATTAGGAAATAATTTTTAAGCTTTTATTTTCACTCTGCTGTGCTCATTCCACACTTAGCTATTGAACAAATATATTAATTAATTCTATGTGGTGGAAGAAAGAGAAAAACTATCTTTGAGAGCTGAAAGAATAACCTCTGTTATCAGAACACTTTGAAGCCTAATATGTTTGGAATCTCGGAATGACTGCCTGACATTTCATTTTGCAAGAAGTCTAAACAACCACAATAAATTTACAAATGTGGACATGCCACAGTTAAATTTCATTTCACGCTCAGTAAGCAAACATTATCAAACCCTAAGCACAGTCCTCCACTGTCTTTTTAACTCAAAATCTTGTCATTAATGGAGGGTCAACCTTGAAATATTTCACAGATGGATGAGTTGGCTTACTTTACTACTCAATTTGTAGACCAACACATACACACACACACGTATATAAACTTTGTCGGCAGGTGTCTCTATGCTTTATTTATTAAACCACCCAAATAATTAGTGATTGGACAGACTCAAATTAGAAACCCAGTTAAGAGTTATTCAGGGAAAATGCTTCTAAAGCTAATGAGTATTTTTTCCCTTAGTTTTGATGATTTGTTCTAATACTGAATGTGGGTTGAGGAGGTAGGGGGTGGTTGCCAAAATTTGGTGGGTGGCAGTTTGGGGTGCAGCAAGTCCTGAAATAAGAGAAAGTATGCTACAAACTGGAAAAAAAATGTCTTGCATACTGTACAATCTCTACTACCTATATGAATAAATATTCCTGTAATTGAACCTATTTGTAAGTATTTGAATCCACATAATACTTGTTTAGAGGCATAAGGTATTTTTCTGGTGTTCACCTCTCTACTTTTTATTTTCTGTCCTTTGTATGAAATAGCTTCTAATCACCTCTTAAATTCAAAATTATCCATTGGAAATGGTTGCCAAGATCTAACTGCATCTTCTGTTCTAGATGCACTTATTTAGATATGTATTATGTTATTGTTAAGATACTTTTGTGCTTACATTACATATGCATGAGCTACATGATCTATGGATTTTGTTTAGCAAAGAAGGGTATTACAGATTATTTGCTGCAACATAGTGGTGCTGCATCTGACAGGGATAAGAAAACCATCATTGCCAAGGGCCAGCGTGCTTTTCCCTTCCCATTCTGCAGTCCTCACTGTGTCCTGGCATGTCCCCTGGGGCCACAGGAAGGCTGCCACAGTTCTTGGTTTCACAGGCAGATACACTGGCATCTAAAAAGGTCTGATTATTTAATGTCTTAAAGATTTCACTAGTAGACTTTATGATTCAGAAAATACTTGTAACCATTACTCAATGTGAATATGCACAGAAGGGCTCCCTTAATCAGTAACTTAGAAGAGGACGTGAATTAGAGATTTAATCTCAGTAGTTGGTCCATTCTTTTCCTAAAAGGGGATAGAGAATCTAATTCAGTTGAGTATGGAAGCAGATGTTGTATAGGCAACTGCCTATTTCCCAGAAGGAAAATAATTAGGCTTCGTGTGCGTGTGTGTGTGTGTGTGTGTGTCTACTAATATACATATTTGTCACACTACTATATAACTATTTGTTATATATTAATATATATTTTCAATTTTTGGTTGAAGTACATTTTGTTGAATATTTTGACTTGCTTTATTTTCTTATGTGAACATATTTTTCTAAGAAATATTGTAGTTCAGTGAACATTGAGCTCCATTACAAGGAATCTGTAAGAATAACTAGCTTTCTTTGCATGACAATAATAGGGGCATTAGCATTTCTAATTAGTGTTTGGGGCTGGCTGGTTAGAATAGCACTTCAACCATGGTCCACAAGCATAAATGTTAGCAGGGGCCAGGAGGTCACTTAATGAGAGAACTGGGCCCAGAGAACTATGGTCCCATGGAAAGCAGGTGTTTTTTTATGGGTGGCATCCACCACTCAGCTCTGATCTACATTTGCCTTGTGGAAATGGGCCCAGGGCTTGATATTTTAAGAAGAAAAAAAAGTCTGATTTATTGTGAAATCTTCTGACTTTTAGATATTAGCTCAGTTTTAAAAACACAAATACCAACAGAGCTCCAAACACTGTGTGAGCCAAACAATACATATTTGAGGGAGATATTTTTTTGTGAAGTGCCATTTGCAACCTCTAAACTATCCATCTGTTTAGGCTATAGAGTGCAATAATTAATTAAAAAATAAGAAATAAAAACAAAAACACCAGTTACCAGTGCTTATGCTTTAGGGGGCAGGGGTGATTCTGCAGAAAGAAAGTATACCTTATTGAAAGGACTTGAACTGTGCTCTGCTAATTTGACTTTATTGTGAGATATTAGCCAACCAATGCACAACAGCAAGGCCATATAGAATTTAGGTTGGTCTTCCATTGCTAAATGTGAAATATTTAGAATAGGAGGTGGGAAAAATTCATAGATATGTACCCAAGAAGACTGATTAAAAGGATTTTGTCCATTTCCACCATCCTTCAGCCAAAGGATGCTTTTTAGATTGTGACATATACACACATGCTCCCCTCTCCCTACCCCATCTTGTTCCCTACCACATTCTTCCATTGTTTATGACCCAGGGAGGCCTCCTGTAAACAACAGCTACCCTATTCCAGCTTCCCAAGCATATGATTGCTTTAATAAAGCGTTTAAACTCTCTACTGTAACCCTCCACGTATAAAGCTAACCTCTACACTCCTCGTCAGCACCATAACCACATTTGTTTTAAAATGGTATCATTTCAAGTATATATTGAAATATTAACCCCCCAAATAAAACCCTTCAAAAATAAGCAAATAATAGGCTCAGAAGCACAATTTGTTTATTTCTGAAAATAAACCCATAGGCATATATATAATTTGACTATCTGCATTGGTTCTTGTGCAAAAATGGTTGCTTACCATTATTTAAGAAATCTGTAAACTCTTGTGGAAAGTTTTAAGTTCTTCTATGTAAAACTTATCTTTTCTCTGTTGAAGAGTAGTGCATTATATGTTGTTTTTTCCTCATCCATAGAGATATAATGATGCTTATCTCATCGTACATGCTGATGGATTAAGTTAAAAGATTTTATGTTATTATTATCATCATTTATTTAGTAATTTATTCAAGATCCAGACTCCAGATCTTCACATTTTTCTTTCATTAGTTTTTAATTGTCCTAGTTTATTTTGTTTGAGAGAGTCAGAATAATAAAGGAAGGATTTGGAATCTAAGGACAAGTGATTTTTTTTGTCCATAAAACATTTTATAGCATCTTTTTGTCAGTATCATTAAGTTTGTGTTTCTCTTCACAAATTTCCTTCTAAGGCATAAAAAAAAATCAGAAATCTCTAGGGATAGCAGAAAATCATGGAACTATTGAAAATAAGTTTACACATTCCAAAGCTGAAATGTTCTTGGCTAATGAATGTTTGCTTCTCTAAATAATGTCTCCCTGCTTTGTCATTAGCAGTTTATATCCAAAAACAGAGAGAAGAGTCTAAATCTAGAAGAGAGACAAATTGCTTGTTAATGTAACAACAGGTTGCCACATGTAATCAGTTACCTTTGGGATGGTCCTACAATCTTGATATTACATGGATATTGAATGACTTGTATACAATAAGAAGCATTTTTTAAAATTACATTTTGGGGAACATGGTCCTGCAGAATATCATTAGTTTACTTGGTAATATGCTGTCATGTTTGATTAATTATATTGTAAACAAATCAATTTTTTCCTGGTGTGAAAAAATTCTGCTGAAAAAAAACCTGAAGAAGAAAGAAGCTACAGAGAAAAAAGATTATCCATGATTAACACTGACCTGTCTAGACTTTAGAGTACTTCCCTCATCTAGTCTGAAGTGTTTCTGATGGTCCTACTTAATTTAGGGGGGAAAAATGTGACTTTCAAAGATAAAAGGATGAATAGGGTGTGAGCATATTTTGCAACTTTTCTCCCTTTGCCATCTTCACCAGGAAGAATTATGTTTTATAGGCTCTTTAACCCATTTGTTTTCACATTTTTTAAAAGTGTAATAACTCAGCTAGATTTACATTTGAGTTCCGTGCTAGCAGAGTTGGATTATTTGTATTTCCTTTCCCTGAAACCATGCAGTTTCCTTTATTTGCTGATTATGGTATTCTGTTACTAAGCCTATGAGAAGCTTCTCTGTGAAGTGCATTTTAATATTTAGATCAAACAGCGATTGGAATACATTAATGCCCAGTGGGTAAACGTGTCATTTGAAAGCAGCTGCTGAGCCTTCTCCCTGCTGCTCCAATTAACACATACAGCATACTCTTGTCAGCAAGAGGGCTGTGCATATGGATGAAACCACTTTGCTGCTCATTAATGTGATATGTGAGAGAGCCCAAAGTTATTCAGTCTGCCTATTGCAAAACAATAGCTTTCCAAGAAGTTTCCCAAGCATGTGCCGTGCTTTGAGAGAAGGGGAGCTAAAATCAGGTGGTGGGATTAGCAGGTAGGAAAAAGTCAGTTTCTCTCTCCCTTTGGTTCAGTCCATTGACTATGTTTCCCCGCCCCTCTTCTCCTACACACCCCTGCCCCTGGTGGTGGAGAGGTTGGATAGTGACATTCTAGTGCTGGGACTCCTCTTGCCTCAGCCAAATCTCCTGAACTTTTGTTTTGAAACTATTTGAAGTCTAAAGCTTTGCTGTTTTGTTTTTTTCCCTCCTAGTCTTTCATTGTCATTTCACTTTCTCTCCCTCTCCTCTTTTTCAAATTGCAGATCTGACAGTTTATTGAACTAAATGAGAAATCTTGTCAAGGTAAACTCCATAGCACTCTTATTTTTAATCTCTTCCATGGCTAAAATCTCTGCTGTGATGATAGCATAGAGGCAGATACAAGGCAGTGCATCCAGTCCCCAGGCTTGGTGTGTTGGTCATTCATGCTCCACTGGCTTCCCAAGCAGCTGGGTTGTCTCTGCACTCTGGTGCTGGCTGAGCAGGGCTGCACGGTGAGCAAGAGATGGACCGCTTTCTGGGTTTTGTCAAGCAGATCCGAAGATCTAGGAGAAGAAAGGGCAAAAAGTACCGACCAGAAGAGGATTACCACGAGGGCTATGAGGATGTCTATTATTATGCTTCGGAGCATTTTCGAAGTAAGCACTTCCCTCCACCCTCCTCTCCTGTTCCTCTGTTCCTTCTTGCTTGCTGGGACTAACAATAAACCTTGTGTGCAGCTTTAATCTCAAATGAAAAAGGTTCCCCAGATGGTGTTCTCTGGGAGCAGTCTGTAAGTACTGAAGTGCTACATTTTACTTGATTTGTTGCAAGAATAGTTATCAGATAGGATCTAGACAGTATAACCAGCCATAGGTCTAGACACATGGCTAATATTTTAGATGTAATTAATTGATTGTTATTTTAATAAGCCATTCAAAAAAGTATCTTGCAAGCTAATGTAGTAATTGGTCAAAATATGTTCTGCTGTACTTGTTTTTCAATAATGCTGTATGTTTGTTGTTGTTGTTGTTTTTTACCTTTTAAAATTGAGAAGGCTTCTCATGGGAGAATGAATTGTTCATGTTCAAGTTGGTGCTGATGATGAACACTTCCAATTAAGACTTCTAGACAGTTTTCTGTAATTTGAAATGCTGTTTGTACAAGGGAGTTCAAATGCTTTTCTGTGATGTTTGTTCATAATTTTGTTAAATTAAGGGAATTCTTATGTGCTGTCAGCTATAAGCAGCAATAACCATAAAATAACATATTCATGTTGAGACATTTGTAAATTAGCTAATAAATAGCAGAGAACTAGGATTTTTCTTGTACCTGTCAGTGCTCTAAGTTCCTGGTGAGCTGTGGATGGGTCCCGATAGATTTAAAATGCCCAGGAATGCCTCAGGGTGCAAAGAAAAAGCAGAGATCACTGAGTTTATGTGCCCAAATGAGAAAGAGGTAGATGGCAGCTATATATAATCTACATTTTAAAAATTAGAAATTATTTCTGACCTTGTTGAATAGGAATCTTTGTAAAATTTGCATTCCAGTCCTACTTTTTTTCTGGCCTTTTGATCTCTAACATGAATGTATCCCATTCACAACCCCTGAGCATTGACTAATAAATAATTTAGATCCTAATTTCTATGGCATTGAAAGCCATGTGAATTAATTCTATATGTCAGAAATTCTGCTGGGATTGATAAAGACCGAGGGTTGAAAACTCACATGTTGGCAATAACAATGCAAAATTGTCATTATTTGATATTTTCTTAAAAAATATGGCTATGATTTTGTAATATGAGTTTTAAAGATACTTCTCTCATAAAGCGTGTATGTGAATGATCTGTTCTAATGTAGTGAGTCTATTTTTCTAAATTTAGTTTTCCTAATGTATTCTAGAATTTAAGATTTGTATCATATCAAAAAATACTGTCAGCTTGCATGAGTAATTTTGAAAATTCAGAAATTGAAAAAAAAGAAGCTTAAGTACTTTTAATTATATTGGCATTCATTGTACAAATTTCTTGCAATCAATATATACTAAGTCAAATTCATGCCTCAGATTTGTAAAATGACATATGTTTGTACAAGTAGATTCAAACAAAATCCCTTAGATACCTGCAGATAGTTTGAAAAGGATTATAAAAAAACAACAGAAAAACTCTAAGTTTACAACAGATACCTACAAGGAAAAATATTATGGCGGTATCCAAGAAATGTCTTTAAAACAGTTAAGAGAATGATATCATAGTCATAGTCTTTATACTTCAAGTGCAGTAATCATATCTTACCTGATTTGTCAAGGTCAGGCTAAGGATAAGATGTTAACCATCAAGTCATTTGCTTTGGATATGAAACTGATGTCTTTTACCTGTGATTTATCAGAAAGCACCCATTAGACAGTCTATAACTTTGTGGAGTTAGATACATATTGAGTGTCCAACTCCAATCTGCTATATAGTAAGCAGAATGTGTCACAGTAGACTTGTGCACTAGGGATTTGGCATTTCGTCAGATGTCAAACAGCCAGAGCTTTTAAAGATGTGTCATATGGCATGATGGCCTCTCAGTGCATCTTTTGGCTTCAGTTTCAGGGCCTCTCTGAATTGCATATGGGAGACATCCACTTATGTTTAACAGCTGTAGAAATGTATTAAAGGGCAAGACTAATGCTTACAGCCAGCCCTCTCAAATGGGCACTATGGTTGAATCCAATGATATCTACGTGTATCTGTTTTAATTAGTCTTTGGCATAATTTGAAAGTTTATGCCCTGTGTGCTTTTTCTTTCATGACTTAAAAACTGTTCACATCAAAGCACAGAATGTGGTGGACTTTCCTGGTGACATTCACATCTTCATTATTAGTGCCATTGATAAACTAGAGGTGGCATTCTTATTTTCTCCCTGTACTGTTTGTTTCTTGAAACTTAGCTCTCTGTCTTGTCAATTTTTCTATTGGTTCAGATTACCAGAGAAACTTTGTATATATAATGAAAGACTGAGCTAGAAAAAACTCCCCAGAAAATTCCCCAATAAGTCTGCCCCTCTTTTGTACAGTTTCAAGTGGTTACTGATATTCAACTTTATCCTAAATAATGTCTCTTCCATAGTGTGTTTTGATTTAGAATTGATGTATTCAAATGTACATGAAGATGAATATATTTGATTCTTTAAAAGAACTGCTCTTGTCACTCATCTGTCCTTTCATAATTCAGGAGTTTAAATAAGCTAGACAGGTGTCTTGGGCAAATCATCAAACATTTCTGGGATTTAGTTTCCTAAAATGTGACACAAGATGGTTTTATTTCTAAAGATTTTTCTAGGTGTAGAACTAGAACTATATAATTTTAAATTTTACATAATTTCTAACACAATGCAGTTAAAGTTTTATCATTCTTTCTTTCTTTCTTTTCTTTTTTCTTTTTCTTTTTTTTTTTTTTGAGATAGGGTCTGGTTTTGTTGTCCAGGTTGGCCTTGAACTCTCCATACACCTTTCTCAGCCTCCAGATTAGCTGGGACTTGAGGCACATGCCGTTGTGCCCAGCTTGGCATAAAGGTATCAACTAAAGGATTTTAACTGGGATTTTTTTTTTTTTTTATTTACCTGAATATCTTCAGGGAATTGACTTTCTGGCAGGGATTGTTAGGGTGGGGATTCTTGTCACTTTGAGATTATAATCTATCATTGGGTATGAAGAAGCTTTGAAGAATTTTCATAAAACTGCAGAGCTCTGAATATATTGGTAAATCATAGACCACCTCTTGTACTTAATTGTATCGACCAAGGAGTACCATTTACTCTTTGAGGTTCTCACATAGATGATTCATTTGGCATTATTCCTTAAGAGAAATTTGCATTGATTACAGAACCACCATGATCCTGAATGTGACAAAAAAGCTAAAAAAAGAACCCTAAAATTCAATTATATTATGTTTGGTGATTTTATTTGTTTGCCACTAAGTACTAAGTTATAGCAATTTTTCTTTAAAGGATCTTTCAGATCAGATTTTATTTAATCTACCATACAAGAAAATAAAATTACTATATTGTTTATATATTTTTATTTAGCCACATTGAATAATATTCAAGTTATAAAACAGATAATGTACTTAGGACTGTTCTTATCCCTGATAAAAATTCTAACCTGACACTGACTACTTGAAAAGGAGAAATTTATTTATCCCTTTCATAAGACCCTAGCACCTTTTGCATGTGTGCAATGGTATTGGATTAAGCATGGACTTCCTGCCTGGTAACTGCTCTTCCAGATTTCATCCTGACTCATCTTTGCAGGAGAAAAGCTGTGCAGAAAAGTTGCTGAAGATAGCTGTTAGTGACCCTTTGATTTCCTTCTGAGGTCCCTACAGGGAAACTAGAGAGAGGGAGGAACATGACTATGGTGTAAGGTAAAAACAAATGACCATGACTTGGTGTAGATCTTTTGGAGAAAGGTCATTTGTTTTTACAAATTATTTCATTTGTTGATTTGTTTTTGTTTGACTATTTCAGTAGTATTGACCAATAATTGTGATATGTGTGTGTATAAAAACATTCTTGGCTAAGTTATTTTATTAGGCAATGTATGCATTTAAAATCCTTATTTGGATAATTCAGGCTTTAAAGTACTTTACATGTTCAGATTATGTTATAAGAGGAATGATTCACTTTTTTTTCTTTAATTGGAAAATATTGTGCATTATTCTTCTTAGCAAAAAAAAAATTAGCAGTGGGTGTTTGTAGTGTGAGGATTTTTTAGGCACTGGTGTGGGTGATTAAACAATTAATTTTTTCTTACTAGATCCTTTGACTAAATTTTAACATTAAAATTTTTTCTTTATAAATTCAAAGAATTTATATACCCTCTCTGCATCTAGTGAACGGCATTTCTCTCTTAATAGATGCACCAATAGGACTGAGTGAGAATTTTTACATACTTTGGAAAGATGGTTGATCCTTGCTATAGTATGTGCAAGAGCTGACATATAATCAAAGCAGCGGTTGCCTTCCTCAGCCTTTGGGGTATAAAGGGAGAGAGGAGAGGGGAGGGGGAAGAAGAGAAGCAAGCACATTTCATAGGCTATCCTTACTTCTCCAGTGCTTAGCAGCATAGCAGCCATTCATTTCTGTGTTGAAAACAGTGATCATTGAACTGACAGGTCTTAGATGTGAGATCCTGGGTGATTCAAGCCTCGGCTGTTAGACTCAAGAAAACACACAAGAATTAGAAGCAGCATCAATATAAGGAAACAGCAAAAATTTCTTATTTTATGACTATTATGTTTATTTTTCTTTCCTAAGAATTGCCTTCTATTTACAGTACATTTTTGTTGTTGTTGTTGTTGTTGTTGGAAAGAGACTGGCTAGCTAGTATGTTGGGTACTTTGTATCATCAACTCTATTATCCCAAACTTAATTTTTATTCTATGTGGAATAATTTAAAGGAATAGTAAAGTTGAAAAGGACCTTAGAATTTACTTTGTTCCACCTGAGTATTTCTTAGTATTTTGTTGTTGTTGTTTAATCTAAGATATTCAACAATTCAAATGACATGTGCAAGTTCCACTGATCACTAAAAGCCAGATTCCTTTATTGGGTCTGGTCCATGCTCTAGTCATTATCTCATATGCGTGTTTAGCTCTCTTAAGATCTGATCC